ACATTCCCGCCGGCGCCAACTGAAGACCAATCACCTCTTTACATATATTTTCGTCACAACCTATATAAATTGAGCCTGAGAAAAATAAAATTGGCCAGCTTGATCAGACATCCTGTCTTGCTGTCAATTCTTTGTGTCTCTTGCCCCTTCATTCTCTCCTCCAGGTCATCGACCCCCGTTGATAGTCCTGAGGGTCGGGACAGGCAAACCAAATTCAAAAACACTTCAAAAACATCATCCATACTGACGAAGAGGGATTTATTCCAGGGATGCAAGGATGGTACAATATCCAAAAATTAATCAATATCACACACCACATCAACAGAAAGGACAAAAATCACATGATCATCTCAATAGATGCTGAAAATACATTTGACAAAATTCAACATCCATTCATGAGAAAAACTCTCAACTAAATGGGTATAGAGGGTAAGTACCTCAACATAATTAAGGCCATATACGACAAACCCACAGTCAATATCATACTTAACAGCAAAAAGCTGAAAGTTACTCCTCATAGATTGGGAATAAGACAAGGATGACCACTCTCCCCACTTTTATTCAACATAGGTCCTAGCCACAGCAATGAGACAAAGAAAAGAAAGGTATCCAGATTGGTAAGGAAGAAGTTCAACTTTCACTGTCTGCAGATGACATGATATTGTACAAAGAAAACCCTAAAGACTCCACCAAAAAGTTACCAGAGGTAATAACTGAGTTCAGCAAAGTTGCAGGATATAAAATTAATATTCAGAAATCTGTTACATTCCTATAGACTAACAATGAATTGGCAGAAAGAGATATCAGGAAAATAACTCCATTTACAATTGCATCAAAAGGAATAAAATACCTAGGAATAAACCTAACCAAGGAAGTGAAAGACCTACACACTGAAAACTGTAAGATACTCAAGAAAGAAATTAAAGATGACACCAATAGATGGAAATACATCCCATGCTCATTGATAGGAAGAATTTATATTGTCAAAATGGCCATCCTACTTAAACCATTCTACAGATTCAATGTAATCCCTTTTAAAATACCAACAGCATTCTTCAACAAACTAGTTCTAAAATTCATATGGAACTGCAAAAGATCCCAAATAGACAAAGCAATCCTGAGAAGGAAGAACAAAGTTGGGGGATTATGCTCCCTAACTTCAAGCTCTACTACATAAGCAACAGATTAAGACTATTTGGCACTGGCACAAGAAAAGATCCACAGATCAATGGAATACTATAGAGAACCTAGATATAAACCCATACATATATATATGGCCAATTAATATATGATAAAGGAGCCATAGATATAAAATGGGGAAATGACAGCCTCTTCAACAAATGGTGTTGGCAAAACTGGACAACTATATATATATGTAAGAGAATGAAAGTGGATTATTGTCCATATACAAAAGTAAACTTGAAATGGATCAAAGACCAAATGTAAGTCATTAAACCATAAAACTCATAGAAGAAAACATAGGTAAAAATCTCTGGAATATACACATGATCAACTTTTTCCCAAACACATCTCCTTGGGCAAGGGAAACAAAAGCAAAAATGAACAACTGGGACTAAATCAAACTAAAAAGTTTCTGTACAGGAAAAGACACCATAAGCCTAACAAAAAGGCATTGTACAATATAGGAGAATATATTTGTAAATGACTTATCCAATAAGGGTTAACATCTAAGATAAATAAAGAACTCACAGACCTCAACACCTAAAATACAGATAACCTGATTAAAAAATGGGCAGAGGATCTGAACAGACACTCTCCAAAGAAGAAATTCAGATGGCCCACAGATACATGAAAAGATGCTCAACATCGCTGATCACCAGGGAAATGCAAATTAAAACCACAATGAGATATCACCTCACACCAGTAAGGATGGCCAATATCCAAAGACAAGCAAGAACAAATGCTGGCAAGGATGCCTAGAAAGGGGAACCCTCCTACACTGTTGGTGGGAATGTAAATTAGTTCAACCATTGTGGAAAGCAATATGGAGGTTCCTCAAAAAAACTAAAAATAGAAATACCATTTGACCCAGGAATTCCACTCCTAGGAATTTACCCAAAAAGCAAGATCTCTGATTCAAAAAGACATATGCATCCTATGTTTATCACAGCACTATTTACAACAGCTAAGATATGGAAACAACCTAAGTGTCCATCAGTAGATGAATGGATAAAGAAGATGTGGCACATATACACAATGGAATACTACTCAACCATAAAAAAGAAACAAATCCTACCATTTGCAACAACATGGATGTAGCTAGAGTGTATTATGCTCAGTGAAATAAGCCCAATGGAGAAAGACAAGTGCCAAATGACTTCACTCATTTGTGGAGTATAAAAACAAAGCAAAATTAAAGAAACACAACAGCAGCAGACTCACAGACTCCAAGAAGGGACTAGTGGTTACTAAAGGGAAGGGGTAGGGAAGGATGGGTGGGAGGGAAGAAGATAATTAAGAGACATTGTAATTTGCAATCACAATAGGTCATGGGGAAGGCGGTACAGCATGGAGAAGACAAGTAATGACTTTATAGCATCTTACTACACTGACAGACAGTGACTGCAATGGGGCCGTGGGGTGTGAGGACTCAATAATATGGATGAATGTTGAACCACAATGTTGCTCATGTGAAACCTTCATAAGATTGTATATCAATGATATTTTAATAAAGGAAAAACACAGCTGGAGACCCAAGATACAATTCTTCCTGAGGCAAATAACTCTCCAATTATGAATTTGCTAAATCAAACAAGTTATGTGCTTCCAAATACAATGGTGTGACAGGCATAGGACAGACATTTCCATTCCAAAATGGAGAGAGGAAAAATCAGAAAACAATGACAGGTCTCAAAGAAGTCTAAAATTCAACAGGGCAAATTCCATTAAACCTTAGGGTTCAAGAGTAATTCTCTTTGACTTGATGCTGTGCCCTCCAGGCCCACTGGGGCAAAGGTCCTACCTACGGGACACACTGGGGCAGTGTTCTGCCCCTGCATCTTTTTCATGCAGAGGTTGGGCCCTCAAGGCTCCCAGAAATCATGCCCCCATGAATCTGGATGGCTACACCCTTTGAAATCTAAGTGGTAGCAGTGATACCCCCCTAGGCCTGTGTACTTTCCCTGGAGGAAACAGCTTACTCTACTAAAGTTTGCTGCCTGAATCCTACGAGGGGCAGCCGCTCTATCAGAGACTGCCAGTGCCATACCTGGGGCAGCCAAGAAGCTCAACACTCACAATGTACCAGGAGAGTTCTCAATGAGAGGCAGCCCCAAGAAAGAGTCAGGAGGTCTCCAAGCCCTGGCAACTCCTCCTTTGAAACTGCTCTTCTCCCAGTGGCCCTTGCACTGTGGGCCTGTGATAGGAGGGGCAGCCTTGATGATTTCTGATTTGCCTTTGTGGTCATTCTTCCATTATCTTATTCAACCGCTCCTGGAATTTGTTGAGATAGCTGATTCATACTAATCTTATCAAATGGTCACTTGGTCATAACCTGCGTTTTCTTCTGACCACATGTTCTCATTTTTTATATGAATAGGCTGAGAATTTTCAAAATCTTTAAATTCTGCTTCATTTTTGCTTAACAGTGTCTTCTTCAAGTCATTTCTATATTTTCACATTTTACCATAAGCAGTTAGGAGGTGTAAGCCCTCACTTTCCAACAGTTTGCTTAAATACTCAGTTTCATTGCTCACAAGTTCTGCCTTCCATATAACACTTCAAACATGAACACAATTCACGGAAGTTCTTTGCCACTGTGAAAATAAATAAACTACTTTAAAATGGAGTCAGAAAGCTCTCACACACTCCCACTCCCACTAAGAAGCAAGCCTCACAATCCCCAAAAAGAAGCAGCTTACATTATATATACTAGCAGGAGGAAAGAAGATTTCTTCTTGCCCAGCAACAGCGCAGCCAGTAAGAAGTATGCAAAACAGCTCCTCTTTTCCCCTATAAAAGCAAGCCCCTTTCCTCTCTTATCTGGAGTTGCTTATGGTTAACTATAGTTTGCTTGTCCCGAATTACAATTCCTCTGCTATTCCTGAATAAACTCATTCTGCTGGTAAAATAACTGGCTTTTTTGTTTTTTAAGGTCAACATCACTATAACAAGGATCACTTTTCCTCCACTTTCCAGTAACATGTTCTTCGTCTCCATCAAAGACCTCATCAGAATGGCCTTTATTATACATATTTCTACTGTTCAAGATTACTACTGTTCAAGATTACATATTACTCTTATCAAGATTACTTAGGTATTCTCAAGGACTGAGGTTTTCTCTGCAGCTCTCCTCTTTTCTTTCTGAGTCCTCACCAGAATCACCTTTAAAGGTCTATTCACAATAACGAAGGCTTTTTTATAGTATGTACCTCAAAACTCTTCTCCATTACTCATTACCCAGTTCTAAAGCCATTTCTACATTTTTAGGTATGTGTTATAGCAGCCCCACACTTCTTAGTACCAATTTTTGTCTTAGTCCATTCAGGATACTATAACAAAAATACCATACACAAAGTGACCTATAAACAACAGAAATTTCTCACAGTTCTGGAGGCTGGGAAGTATAAAATCAGGCACCAACAGATTCAGTGTCTAATGAAAATCCACTTCCTGGTTCATAGATAGTTCATCATCTGATTCATCTTCTTACTATGTCCTCTCACATGGTTGAAGGGGCCAAGACACTTTCAGGGGGCTCTTTTATAAGAGTATTAATGCCACTGATGACAGATCCATGTCATGACCTCATCACCTCCTGAAGGCCCCACCTTCAAATCTCACTAGGGACTAGCCCAAGGAAGATTTACCTTAAATTCTACTCTAGTGATGTTTTTATCTTTTATGAATGTGAAAACACAACTGTCAGACATACAAGCATTTTTTAAAAATACACTATACATTGACATTGCATTAGAATAGCATAATTAAAGCAACATTCTGTTAATAATAAGAGAAAAAAAAACCTTTTTAATATTTACCACAAGCTTGAGAAGCAGCAACACAGATCTCTTCTGCAACATACTCCCCAGCTGGAAACCTCAGGCAGTCTCCCTCAGCTTTCTCAAGGGAATGATAAAGATACACCTGTAGTACTGGATCTATTTGCTTCACAGAATTAGCATTTCCAGGAATATCACCATTCTGATGTATAGGAGATGTGGATGTTCCTTCCATTTCTGTCATTGTAAGGCAAGCCATTCCCCCATGCAGAGGCTTTTTCAGAACATTTTGCCTGTGAGAGAAAACAACAGTTACAAATGAACATTATATTGACAAGGTATCCTTCATATATAAAGAAGTCTTCATCGACAGCAGTAAGTCTGTCAAATCCACTAACTGAACTAATGTTGTTTACTACTTATATACAAAGCACAGTGAGAGACATTAACTGCTTGTGGACAAGGAACATAAAACAAGTTTACATCCAGAGGAAACACAGTATAAATATGTATGTAGCACTAACAAAACAGTTATAGTCAACAGAAGAGATCCCACAAGGTGACATGACTTTTTAACAAATGAATTACTCCAATAGAAGATGGATTTTTTTCTTGCCTAATTGCGAAGTACAATACGTGCATTATAGGGGTCATAGAAGGTGAAGAAAGAGAGAAATAGACTGAAAGGTTATTTAAAGAAATAATGGCTGAAAACTTCCCTAACTTGGGGAAACAGACATCCAGATCCAGGAAAACCATAGAGCATCAAATATGATGGATTTAAAGAGAACCACAGTGAGACACATTATAATTAAATTGTCAAAAGTTGAACACAAGATCACCTTAAAAGAAGCTGGAAAAAGGCAACTTACTACCTACAGGGAATCTCCATAAGACTGTCATTTCCAATACTGGCACTTCCAGTACTATGTTGAATAAATGGGAAAGAAGGCATCCTTGTATTGTTCCTGGTCTTAAAGAAAAAGCTTTCAGCTTTTCACCACTGAAGATGATGCTAGCTGTGGGCTTGTCAAAAATGGCTGTTATTATAATGAGGCGTATCGCCTTTGTGCCAAATACGTGAGAGTTTTTATCTTGAAAAGATGTTGAATTTCTCAAATGCCTTCTCTGCATCTATTGAGATGGTCATATATGATCTAATTTGACTAGCCATAGCTTAATTTCAGTGTGTCCTTATTGATTTTCTTTCTGGATAATTGATCCATTGTTCAAAGTGAGATATTTAAGTCCCCTGCTATTATTGTACTATCTATTTCTCCCTTCAGATTGCTTAACATAGGCTTTATTTATTTAGGTTCCCTTCTGTTTAGGGCCTAAGTAGCTACTAATGTTACATCCTCTTAATTAACTGACTCTATCATTATGTAATGATCTTCTCTTTTCACAATCACAGGCTTAAAGTCTACTTTGTCAAATATTGGTATAGCTTCCCTTGGTTTCTTTTGGCTTCCATTTGATGGAGTATCTTTTTCCATCCCTTCTCTTTCAGTCTGTGTGTCCTTAAAGCCAAAGTGAGTCTCAGAAGAGCATACATTGGGGTCTTGTTTTTCTTTTTATCCACCTGAGCTTTCTATATGTTTTCATTGGAGAATTTAGTCCATTTACTATGTAATTATTAATAGCTATGGATGTACTATTGCCATTATTTTTTTTCTGACTGTTTTATAATTCCTTTGTTCCTCTCATGTTCTCTTACTTTCAAATTTGATGATTTTCTGTACTGGAATGCTTTGATTCCTTTTTCCTTATCTTTTCTGTATATTCTATAGGTTTTTGCTCTGTGGTTATATGAGGCTTACATAAAATCTATTTTTTAATTACAATCTTATTTTTGTAACAATCTATTTTAAACTAACAGCTTAACTCCAAACACATATCAAAGCTCTACAATTTTACTTCCCCTCCCACATTTTATGTTTTTGATGTCACAATTTACATCTTTTTACGTTACATATCTATTAACAAAATATTACAGCTAGTTATTTTTAATACTCTTGTTTTTTAATCTTTGTGCTAGAGATATATGTGATTTACCCACTAACAATAGTGTATTCTTATCATAACTATGCATTTACCTTTACCAGTGAGTTTTATACTTTCATATGTTTTTCCTGTTACTAACAATGCTCTTTTGTATCAGCTTGAAGAATTCCCTTTAACATTTCTTGAAAGGCTGTTCTATGGGTAATGAACTCCTTCAACATTTGGTTGTCTCGAAAACTCTTTATTTCTCCTGGACAAATTTGCTGGGTAGAGCATTCTTGGTTAGCAGTTTTTTTTTTTCTTTCAGCTCTCTAAATATATCATCCCACCCCTTTCTGGCCTGTAAAGTTTCTGCAGTTTTTTTTTCTTTCAGCTCTCTAAATATATCATCCCACCCCTTTCTGGCCTGTAAAGTTTCTGCTACACACATCTGCTGACAGTCTTATGGAGATTCCCTGTAGGTAGTATGTTGCTTTTTTCCAGCTTCTTTTAAGGTGATCTTGTGTTCAACTTTTGACAATTTAATTATAATGTGTCTCACTGTGGTTCTCTTTAAATCCATCATATTTGATGCTCTATGGTTTTCCTGGATCTGGATGTCTGTTTCCCCAGGTTAGGGAAGTTTTCAGCCATTATTTCTTTAAATAACCTTTCAGTCTATTTCTATCTTTCTTCACCTTCTATGACCCCTATAATGCACGTATTGTTATGCTTGATAGTTTCTCATAAGTCCCTTAAACTATCTTTGATATTTTTCACTCCTTTTTCTTTTGGTCCACTAATTAGATGAATTCCACTGCCCTGTCCTCTAGTTCACTGATCCTTCCTTCTGCTTTACCTACTCTGATGCTGAATCCTTCTATTGAACTTGTCAGTTCATTTATTGTATTCTTCTGCCCTGTGGTTTCTGTTGATTAACTTTTTTCTGTTTTTAAGTTCTTTGTTGAAATTCTCACTTTGTTTATGTGTTGCTCTCCTGACCTCAATGAGCATCTCTGTGACTTATTTTGAATTCTCTATCAGGTAAATCACTTATTGCCATTTCATTAAGATCTGTTTGGAATATATTCCTCTCTTGCTTCATTTTCCTTGACTCTCTGGTAGTTTCTGTGCATTGGATAAAAAAGCCATGTCTCTCAGTCTGAATAGACTGGTCTTGTGTAGGGAATGAACCTTATCAATCAGCCTGGTCTGAGCTCCTGATTGCCTATCTAACCTTTGTGACTGTCCAAGCTACTTTCTTTGTTCTTAGTCGCCACTTAGTTCTTGAAGGTGTGCCAAGACCCATCAGTATTGAAAAGCAAAGATCACATTCACTGCCTAGATGCACACTGACTGAAATGAATCTTCAGGCAGCAGCTGGGGGAGTACATAGTTAAGTCTCTTTCAGGGAGATGACATTTTTGCTTGCTCCCTCTGTGCTGGACAAGGTCTATAGCTACAGGTTAGAGATGGGGGGAGGGGTGCCTCTGTGCCCATTAACAATGACTTCTTTTTTTGCTACAGTACTGTGGGGCTCATGAATGCAAGCCCCACTTGCTATGTGAGCCAGGCAATTCAGAGGGCCATTCCTTGGGTAGTAGATGCAAAAGCTAGGGCACCAAACATGCATTGTTCCAGGGGGCTACTAGTGACTTGGAGCAGGTTAGAGAGAAGCAGGGAAAGTGTCTATCAGCTTCCCCTGTATTTGGAGAGGATTGAAGTCAGCTTCTATATGCATGCTAATTAGAAGCCTTCCCCCAGGCAGCAGCTGTTAAAGTTCACAGATGGACCCCTTTCAGGGAAAGACTGGGAGATGGAAGTTTTTATCTGCTCCCTCTGCACTGACCCCTAGGGGAATAGATGCTTTGAGTGTTTGCACACACTAACAACTGCTTCTTTGTTCACTATAGTCTTGTGGGTCTTCTGCCAGAAAACTTGTTGGCTTACAGAGCTAGGTGTTTGGGGTGACCATCTCTCAAATGGAAGTCTTAAAAGTTAGGCCACTAAATGTGGGGTTCAAACCTTTAGCTCCTCTGGGAGAAGCTGGGATTATTTGGGAGTTCCCTCCTGATTAAATGGTGCTGTGCCAGCAGGGGGGTGGGGGAGAGGAGGGACAGTAGAGGGTTATGACAAGAGTGTGTCTCAGCCTTTCCTATCCATTTTGATGTGGAAAATTTCTCATTTGCACACTGTGTTGCAGTCACTCAGCTAATTCCTCAATTTCTTTTAGAGTTAATTGCTCTATGTGTAGCTGTATATTCAGTGTGTCCAAGAGAGTATAGTTCTGGAAACTTTTATGTCATCATTTTGGTTGACCACTTGAAAATTATTTTGCCTTCATCTCAAATCATTCCCTCACTTTCAAAATTTTATTTGCAATTCTTCACCCCCCCCAAAGCATTTTGAAGATATTCCTACACTTTTTTGACACCTATTGATATAAATATGAAGTATACTGTCAGTTTCAGGTGTCATGTTATTCCAATAGTTCAGGGTTTTTCCCTTTATGAGCAATGTTCTGCAACTTTGTTGCAACGGTCTTGATATAAACTTATCTTAATCAAAATTCACTATACACTTTTAATCTGAAGGTTTATGTCTTTTTTTCTATTCCAAGAAATTTTCAGCTATTATGCATTCAAAGTTGTCCTTTGACATTCCCTCTCATTTCTTTTAACAGAACCCCTATTAGTTGACCATGGGGGGCCTCTCAAGTTCACTTCCACATTTCTTACATGGAGACAAAATTTAGGACAATGATCAGACTGGCAAGACCACTACAGTGAGGGGCATAGAGAACGACTGACAGGATGCACAAGGGAGGCTTGGTAATAATCTACCTCTTGATGTGAGTAGTGTTTACATGCATGTGTTTGCTTTGTAAAAATTTGTCAAGCTATATGCTTATGATTGTCACACTTCTCTGTATGTATAGTACATTTGCATTAAAGACTTACTAAATGTTTAAATTTTATCTGGAATAAATTATATTTCAATTTTTAATTCTGTTGACCACATTTTGTAGTATTAGATTTCTTCATGTATTTTAAAATTTGGTTTTCAGGCTCATTTCACCATTCCCCATCTCCCCTCATTCCCAGCACATATGCTGCATGCATGCATGCGCGCACATGCGCGCGCGCACACACACACACACACACTGTGATTACCCTTCCTTGTCATTGTCTCCACCTAGCTATCTGGTTAGGTCTCACAATAGCAGATCAAAATTTCTGCCCTGAGGAGGTATCAGATATGTTACCTACCCAGTAACAAGGCAGGAGATACTTGGCTCCATCTTGGTGTT